CTTCTTTCTTTCTTCTACCCTCGGCATCCATTTTCACGCGGGTGTTTCCCTTCAAGATATGGATCTGTTTGCGCAAACTCCATTCCAATGTACAAAAAAGTACACAACCTATTTCATTAATGCCTCATAGGTCTCCTTTCACAACGAAGAAAACAGTCAAATAAGGTTTGTCATTCTTCAGATAGTAATCGGCATAATTGCTTTTTACAACACTTGCATTTTTGCTTCATTCCACATTCTCAATTGCGTATTAGACAGCTCCGCGGACAACGTTTGAAGGTGACTGATTGGTATTGTAGCAAAAAGGCGTCCATTAAGGCACAATCTTTACTGCTCAACACGGTAGTTCCTATGCCACACGCGCGCTCACAATTTTGAATCACAATTCCATACCACAACACATCCCGGTTCTCACTCACATGCCGTGTACACTTCTGCGTGGTTTATGCGTGTGATCCGCGCCATCTATCGGGGTTTTTCCGCCTGCTATTCCTCGTCCGTTGATCCGATTTAGTTGACCGAGGGTTCGTCCGGTCGCTCGTGTAGTCCCCTCTCTATCCACTAGGGGCTTTGACCGCACTCTACAACCGTGTCGAGCTATTCCTGCGAGTGTTGGAATAATCACGCTTTCAATTTGGTCATCCATCCTATTTTGGCTGCCATGTCACGTCCGTTGGTCAGATCCGGTCGAGCGATCATTCATCCGGTCGCCCACGCCGTCCTCCACCCGCACGCTGTGGGTTTTTGAACGCACCTCCATCTGCATTGAAGTATTCTGCCGAGAGTTGGAATACTCACACCTCCTACTTGACAGTCCACCACAGTATGATATTAACTGATGCACCAGAATCTAACTGACACCGCCTTTTTTCTTTCAATAAGAAGTTCAGCTTTAACCCCTTTTGATCCAGGTACATTTCGAACACCATCGGTATTTGTCGGACCTCTGACTCTTTATTGATCAGTCTATCGGATGGTAATTTGCACTACTTGGCGAGATTGTTATTTTTGCAAAATTTCTTACAGATTTTTCTAAACTCGGGATATTTCTTTTTCCGTCACTCATGGTCACCACTGCAAAACAGGCACAAGGATATTGCGAGTTTCACTGGTGCACAGCTGGTCGTTTTGAGCTGCGTCCCATATCCATCCTCTGCTCCGCAGCTGCTTGGATTTTGCAAATACCAATACACTGAGCAAGCGTTAACTGTCTCATCCTCAGCAGTCTCTTAGCCATTGCAGCGTCCTGAACACTAAGTACCATTCGATGGCATATGAGACTGTCTTTCGTGCACTTGCAAGGACAATAATTTCTAGCCAGCTTCTTTATTGCGGTCACGTACTGATTTACAGATTCCACTTGATGACGGTTCTTTCGAATGAAACGGAAACGTTCAAAAATTTCGTTTGTCTAGCCAAGACAGTATTCTTCGAAATTATTAAACACCGTACCCAGATCGTTCTTATCCTTGTCGTCAGTGAAAGTCAAATTCATCAAGAACTGTCTATCGCCATCTCCAGCACAATGTCCAAACATCGCCAAATGTTATTCTCTCGATCCTTCAGACAAACTGCTGAACGTAGCAAAGTCGCCAAACTTTTGTCTCCACACCCGCCGTGCTTCTGGCAACCGGCTGCTACCCGTCGCGTCCAACGCCTCTGAGGGAACTGTTACAGTAGCCTAGAAATCTGCAAGTGTTCTTTTTGTCCTGTGACACGATGTCCTGTGCTGGGCTACCGAATCGAGAAAACCAAGGACACAATAGTTTGAAGTTAATCCAGAAGTTTCAGGTTACAGGAAAATGTGTCCTTCTTATTGAGGAACAACAGCATCTACAATCGCTATTGGACTTCGAGCATTCTTGAGTTCTGGTTGGCCAATTCGTTGTTACGTTCCGCGACTTTGCATCGAACAATTCAGTTGCTTAAGCTTGACACGCACTTAATCCCCACTTCTCACGAACGAACTCGGTGCAGTAGTTGATTGCCGTTTTTGATCGGTTGGCCCTGAGCAACCAATGTTCCTTTTGCAACAGCTTCTATGCGAACTCTGATTGGCTGAACCTACTAGAATCAGATAACCGCTCCAGTCCAGTTTCATTAGACAGGGCGACCGACTCCAACTGTGAAGCATCCGAGATCCTGGTGTGGCTTTGTATCTCCGCTGGTAGAATGCTTGTCATTTTTGAGCATGCTGCTTCTGTCACTGGTTCGAACCTAGCCGAAGCCCTGATTTTTCGTAGTTGGGTTCCTTCAAAACTAACAAATCTGCCAAACTACTTACTAGTAAAACATGTAGCCTGCTTATCAGCTGCGATGTCTTTTTAAATACCACTGAAGCTCATATTTGTCAGTGTACAAAACTTGGTTACACCAGTTCTTATTATCAAGTGCGTGCTTCTATCTAAAATGGAGCTCATGAATAGGAGTCATGTTGTACAGTTCACCAGATGCATAATAAATTCGGTTTTGTTCTAATAAAGTTTTTATATTACTGCCATATAGACTCTTTTGAAAGAAGGTGACGGTTTACTCTATCTGAATATGTATATTCAGATAGAATATTTTGGACGATGTTAAGTATAGCAACTTTTTAGATTTATCGGTGACTACATATTTTTTGTCACCCCACCTTTAACGTTACCCATCGTGACTTTGCAAGCTAATTAATGAACGCATTTTTGTTGAATTGTTGCAGAGATGGTGTACAACATGCATTCGCTGGAACACCTTGCGGATGATACGGCCACGCACGGTTCATTTGATAACTTTTCTGCTTTTCCGTTTGAGTCTTTCCTGTACAAATTAAAGCTGGTGCTTACTGGGCCAAAGTGACCAGTAGGACAATTGTACAGACGTTTATCCGAAAGATCTTCCGCTTCTCTTCCCGTCAAAGTTGTTCATTCTCATGTTTGGTACACCTATCAGTTGTCCTTATTTACCTAGATGCTCAAGGTTTATTAAGGGTTCCATTTTGTTTTCAAATACTCGCCCAAACAACGTTGTCCTTTTAATTGATGTTCCCTGCGTAGTTATCGATATGTGCAATCCCAATTCTGAAGTTTGCACTGTGAGTTATTGTCTCTTTACCAAATTCCGACCTCTCTTCATCCATAGTTTTTCCTCTCAACATTCGCATATGTTTATTGTCAATGGTTTATCACCAGAGGTTTTCATGGCAAGTGCGTTTGGAAGCAATAAGAGTGACGTGGTTTGGATATTTATGAATCTCATCCTCTTAAAGTATGTGCTGCCTGTGGGTCTGTCTAGCCTTTCCATATGAAGTTGATTTTCAACGGCGTTAAATTGTGCACACCATAAATCATTATCAACTGTATTAGCGTATAGGTTGAGAACGTAAGTTTAAGAATTAAGAATTGTTTTTTGTGCATATAATTTTCCTGTATTTCCGACATGTTCGCTTGGTTAATCTTTTTCCCCTGTGTGCTGTTTTCCTGCGGAACATTTTGATGCCTATTATTTTTTCCCCCAGGAAACAGTCAAATACCGGAGGATAAGATGTATGTGAGAAGAGTCCATTTTGTAGGTTTTATTTACTGCAATAAACTCCCCCCATTCACTTCCGGTAGGTTTTCTTTTCACATAATGTATCATAGCGTAAGGACGGTTTACGACGTTTGGGCAGTAATTACAAGATGAATTACCTTATTTTGGATTATTTTAGGGATGAATTATGCCATTTAGGGTGAATTTATGACAAAATCAGTGTACAAGAAATGGACCACTGAGAAAATTAATGCTGTACACTCGATAGGGCTGAGTTAGGGAATGTATCCCAAATCCCTGACAAATTCTCAACTGATCTCCGGATTGGTCCACTAGGCCAAATTAGGGATTTTTCCTAATTTATCTCTAATTATGCTGGCAGGGTACTTGTTGCGATCAAAAGTGGGGGTGGTGTTCAACTTGCAGCTAATTTGTGATCTAATAGATGCTAGACCCTCCTGAAAGACACATTCAAGTAGATCCTAAGTTTTAAAGATTGGATCGTTTTAATTAATCTGGAGCATGAATAGGCCACGATGGCAAACGTGATGGAGAAGGAAGGTATAATTAGCTGTGGAGGGATGAAATTGAAAAGGGGTATTTGTAAACATTGTCCCAAATTGCATCCTCGTTTTTCTTCATTCACCTTGTTTTCCGCATGGGGACTGCGAAGATTTCTAGTTCACGATTTCCGCACTTTTACCCCTAATCCGTCTCAGTTTGTTCTGTAGTGGAGGTGAAACTAACCTAACTAGAGTAGTCTTGACGGTAAATAAGCGACGTCCAATAAGTTTGTTGGGAGTCCCATCTCCTAAGAAAACAGCCGGGACACATCATACCACATCGATCGGCCGGCCCAGCTCGGATGATATGATTGTGGGTGGTGGTATGTTTCCACTCAGCAAATCAGGTTGCAGGTGTGTGGTCGAAAGTCTGTGTGCCCTCTGGACAGTGTTTTCTTGCGTTGCTTCCTGATGCCCCCTGCTCTGACAACCTGACTGCCACTTAAGGTAATCGTTTCGTCCTATACAGAGCTTCTGTGGCCTAATTTTGTCTCGCTCTACCAATCAACGGTGTTGCCGCGTCTCTTCTCATTTCTCGGTCTTGGATCAAGCGACTGAGCGCGTAACCAAGGCGACGATCCAATAAAGTTACTCAATCAGATAAAAAACACGTGCTTAATTATATACGTACATCTGTAAAAGTATATGCATAGGCATGAATAGGCGTTAATTGCTTATAAAGATAATTATCTGCATATATTTATGTTCATGTATACACATTAAGCGTACTATCAAGCAGTTCAAACCAATTATTTCGGGTTTGAAGAGAAACATAGCAGAAGAAACATGACATACACATTACTGATATGCATGTCGGCAGATTTGACACGTCACCTAACTGCGAGAAGCCTACATTTTCGCTTGACCATCCAACCAAACTGTCAGACCCACCAACGATTACGCTGAACTGTGTCAGATCGCAGAAAATCCCTCCCACGGTGGGTCTCGAACCCACACTCTTCTACTTAGGAGGCAGACACCTTATCCATTAGGCCACGCAGGCAACCAACGTAGGCTCCCGGAAATTAGGGGATAAATTCAAATGTTTCGTTCACACACGCAGTTTTGTTATTGTGACTGACTGTCCAAGTACTTCTCAAATGGTGTTTTAAGTGGCTTCAACTAGAACATGAGCCAAAGGATACAGCTACTTTATCACTTGTCAATATTCTCTTTATTATCAAGTCAACGACATTCAATGTTCGCGAAAATGAGCCAACCCTGTTAGAAAGCACTAATCTGAATCGCGATCGAATAGTTTATAAAGACCCACGACACTGGGGAAATAAACGCGACAATATTATGCGGCTATATGATGTAAAAAAAAAAGTTCTTTCCTTTCCATTTTTTTTAAACTACACCTAAAAAACGACAGCATTTTCGTCGGTGCAATTTGTACCTTTGGCCAAAATAGTGCGCCCCCATTTTGTGAAGCGGTGGCCTGTCGCTAGGGTTTATCGAGGTAACTTAAATGTTGACTGATCAATCAGACTACTAGTGAGTAGCCAGGACGGGTTGGTTAAACTGCTGCATCAACCTAAATTTGCATGCGGTTGATAGGCTTTTGTTTTTATCTGTTGCCATACGTTGGGAAGTGCTGAGCTTAGATGCGAATTCCTCTGTAATTCAGTGGCTCTGTACATCTTTCAATCTAGATTCTCCGGAAAACAAAAGAGACCACGGTAACAGTCAGTATTGTATGACGGTTTGAACACCCAGCGCACATCATTGGTGGACCGGTGAATTCTCGTCTTTAAATACCGGCGTCATATTCCGTAAAACTAAACGAAACATTTCTTAGAACTACGGCTGCTAACCGAAGCAAATTGTAATCGTTCAGGCTTCTCACGCTTTGAAGTATGTAAGCTGTCTGAAGATCCACTCAGGCAGAGTGAAAAAAGCCTCACGTTGGTCATGGCACTCATTCTCAAACCGATAGGCCGGATTCGAGTTCGCCCGTGTTTGGACTTCTCAGACAGAGGTGGCTTAATAGAAGATCGAACCGGCGCACTCTTGTGTCACGAACAGAAGGACTTATCCTCTGGACCACAAACCTTATGGGCGTGGCTCATGACTTAAGAGATCACATATATATGCGTACTTTATATGTAACCTTATTCACCCTCATTTGTAGTGGATGGACATGGTCAATCATCGACTGACAGGTTTCACTGGTTAGGGTCGCAGGAAATCGAAATATTGCGTACTATATTTCCTAGTGCTCAACTTGAAACCGGTACGTCACAACCAAATTTGTCTTTGTCTGGACCAACCAAATGATGATAGTGTAAATAGTATACAAAACGATTAATCGACTGAGAGTTTGTGATTTCAGGACAAGTCAGAAATCGTCGGTAATGTTTCAGTCACAACACACAGCCAGCCTGATGAAGCTTCTACTATGGCGAATGAAGCACAATCTTTATTGTCCAACACGCTAGTTACCATACCACACGCGCGCTTGCGGTTTTGAATCACAATTCCAGCCCACAACACCCCACCCCACCCCCACCCCCCGGTTCCCGCTCACACGTCGTGTGCACTTCTACCCGGTTTTGGTGTGTGATTGGAGCCTTCTATCCGGGGCTTTTCCGCCTGCCATTCCTCGTCCGTTGATCCGATTTAGTTGAGCGATGGCTTGTCCGGTCGCTCGTGTAGTACCCCTCTCTATCCACTATGGGCTTCTACCGCACTCTACAACCGTGTCGAGATATTCCTGCGAGTGTTGGAATAATCACGCTTTCAATGTGGTCATCCATCCTATTTTGGCTGCTATGTCTCGTCCGTTGGTCCGATCCGGTAGAGCGATGACTCATCCGGTCGCTCT